GGTGCTTCCTGGTTTGACTTTTCACTAAAAGATTTTGTGATGTTAGTAAACTTATCATTTTAAAACCATGATACACCAAGATACCAGCACTAGACCTAATAATCTCACACCACGATATTCTTGGTTGAGGTAACATTAGCTGTTTGTAAAGAGGAATATTTTTTGTCATTTTCTTTTCATTTTTTCTGAAAATATAAAAATAAAATAAACAGTCATGTTTATTATGTTGAATCTAAATATCCTGGTAAATATTTCAGTGTTCATTACATCCTGAAGACAGTTTAGGGATTTGGAGGGAGAGTAACAAATAGCCAGGGAATGAAGAGGCAAAATGAGGAGAGTATAGTTAAAATTTTAGTTAAAAATAAGGCAGGAAGAATCTTGAAAGCAACATTTTTTTCTTTAGGGAAAAACCTAGAGAAAAAAAATGAGAGTGTAAATAACAAAATCCAGAGTTTCTAATAAGAAACAATGCTCCAGCAAACTATCCTGGGAGAAACCATGAACCTGGCATCTTCATCTACACAAGCCTCCACAAAGCTGCAGCACACATGTTGCCCAATTGACCAACAGGAACTTAGATTAGTTCCTCACCTAGCTTCATACTAGGTGGGAAACTGACCCAGTATGAAGGTCAGTTCATCAAGAGGCATAGTGGAGTCAGCTGCACCTGCAGAAGCTGTATGAGCTCAGCAGCAACTTGAAATGGGGAAACATGCCTGCAGTCACCACTGCACATAACAATGTTTCTTGGACATTATATTATATTTTCTCTGAAAATTTGTGGAGGGATCTTATACAATTTAGAGTTTATTTTTGAAATAATTTTGAAGTCAAACACATTGTTGCAAAAACAAAATGAGCATTGGATTTCTTACAGAACCTCTGTCAGAGTTCAGCGGAGTTGCAGAGATGCCAATTCGCACACTGGACTTCTGCCAATTAAAACACGACTATTAAGGCAGCACCCACACACAAAAGGTCCACTTTGAGTAATGATGGTATGTTGACTGATCAGTTTTACTTGGCAAGAATGACTCTGTGCACTCTAAACCCAGGATGAAACATTAATACCCCAATAGAGCGCTGTCAGAGTGGAGGGACACATTTTTGTTTAACTGTCGTCAATCCTGGAAACTCCAAACACGATTAAAGGATTTTTTGTTTGTTTCTTGCTGCTGATTTATTTGATCATTAGACAAATAAATGACATTAAACAACATTTAACAACATTAAAGCACAATAACTGATTTATTTATGATTTCTTTTGCAGAAACTGGAGTTACACAATACGTACTCACGCATATAACCGTATCAAGGTGCTCATGTAGCACAAAGGTTCCCACCTGAAGGAAAGTGTGAGCTTTTATAAAAACAACAAGCTTACTTTCATGCATTTGTTTTTATTTTTTGACCTTTTTAAGTCCAGTTTAATAGCTGCTTGAATCTTTTCTCTAATTACGCAAATGCGTAGCTGGGTGGGTATGCAGGCCCTGCAAGGACAGGGTCTCATTAGAGAACAGGACAGAGTGTTTCTTTAGCCCGGCTCTGGCAGTGCGACCGCCTGCTGGATGGAAAACAAAAAAGGAGAGGTGAAGAGAAGAGGAGGAAAAGAAAGAGAAAGAACATTGCTTCAACAAGTGTCAGCTAGTCCAAAATCCTCCTTTTGCACAGCTTGCATAGTCTTTAGTAAGAGTTGGAAGTTTTCTCTTTTTTGACAATTTAGTGATTAATATTAACTAATTCCCATCAAGGTTTGCATCTGAAAGTATATGAGGTTTCCTCCATAAATCCCCATATTGGATAATCTGTCATCTTAAAACAAATAAACCTCTACATGTTCTCAAAAGTGAAATCTATGAGGATTTGTGTTTAAACACTGAATGTCACTTCAAGCTTTAAAATTATAAAATGAGCTCCAATAAGATATTAATTCTGAAAAACCTCTGTGAACTTTCAAAGAAGAAAAATGTCTGTAGATGATTTTTAGGATTTTAAAACGTTTAACTTTTCTCGGGAAAACCAAGAAAAATGTTATGTTTTATTCCTGGTATAATGGGAATCAGCCAGAATCTGCAGATGAAACTTCAAGAAATAAATTTAAATTAATTAAATGACAGAATGTTCTCATACAGTCATAAACGAACATCTCCAGGCGATATCTACAGTATTTCATTTTAAGCATCTTTCAGCTTTTGACGATTACAGGCAGTCTTACTTACTTTAAATATCAGTCTCTTTGTTCTATATAAATAGAGCCTAAACGATAGTATATTTCACCAACTGTGTTTACATTACAAATGCATGCAAAACTTTGTCAATATTCTGCTAATGTCGAACAGACACAATTTCACAATTGCGGCATACTATTAAATAAGAAACACAGTTAAAATCACACGTGAATAAGTTTGTTCATGCGATCATTCATTAGATGCGGCGCCGTCATCCTCCAACCACTTCCTGTTGTCTTCTCCAGGTTTCCACTAGTTGTTGGTCACATGACTCATGTGATGTGAAAAAGGTGTTTCCATTGAAGATTTGTGAAATACACTAATTTTGATACTATCTATTTTTAGCACATATGTGCATTTGAGATTTTAAACTGGCAAGACCAGCATTATTAAACAGCAATCTTTGTGTGTTCTTCTGAAAATACACACACCTTTACATTAACTGTTAAGTTTTCAAAAGGCAGCCTATCACAGAGGCTGAAAGAGCTGAAACAGATTAATTTTGCTCTTCTGCCTTCCTGTTACGTGCTGAAGTCCTGCTCTCTCTCACTCTTTTGCAGCTTGATTCAGCTGCAGACTATAAGAGAACTCAGTTTCCTGTTTTAGTAGCATTTCTGTAGCGTGAAACAAAGCCATTCCAGGGTGAATGCCAGGATTCTTTATGCAACAGAAAACAAGAAATCATAACACTTTATAGTTCAGATATGGCAGTTCAGATATCATTAGAGCTTTTGAGATGCTGTCTAGCTTCTACAAAGTATAAACAATGCCTTTTTGTCATGGCAACTATCTGAAAGTGACAAAGTAAAGAGCTGCACAGCATCCCAGACCAAAAAGAGTAATTTTCCAAAACTGCAATGCCAGTAAGTAAAAGAACAAATCAGAACGAATGTAGCAGAGCTGCTGCCACCACGATTCTAGAGTAAAAATGTGTTAAATATTTAATGTTTCCATTTTAAGAAAACTTGTAAATAAACTCGAGAACAGTCATATCCTTCTTTCGAGAGTTTGACCACAAAAACATGCTTTAGCTTTACATGGAAAAAGTAAAGCTAAAGGCTATATACAATTATTTTATTTTTATCTTGTTTCCTTAAGCTCTTTATTTTTTAGTTTTCCTCTTTTTGTGGTTTAGCTTCCTGAATCCTTGGCTCCTGGGTCATTTCCTGCTGAGAGTTTGGGTTCAGCTCTTATTTTGGGAAGAGTCTCTTCCACCAGTGAACTTTGACCTGATGCTTTTGATTTATAGCAGGCTTAAAATTGACCCAAACAGCTAACAGATAAGTCCAATAATAAGAGAGGAAACGGCTGTAAGAATAGTGAAAGGCGTAAAAAGTTCAACATATTCTTGAGGTGGAATACATACAATTTTCACATTTTAATGAATGAAGTCTGTTGATTGTATTGTGACAAAATGTGAAAAGGCGAAAGGGGAGGAAAAACTTTGCGAGGCTGGGTATGTTTGAGCTCCCAACATAAAATCCAGTTTAAGCTACGTGTGGAGTGTCTCTCTACCAGCTGTGCACATCTGGAAACCCAGAGTTTTGCTTATTTCTCTTTGTAAATCAGCTCCAGTTTAGTATGAACAGACATTTAAAAGTCTTGCCACAGATTTTAAAACCTGCACATCAGCTTTATGCAGTGGATTGACTTTGTGACACATGTCAAACTACCAGATGGATATGAATAATGTAAAAGAATCAGAAACTCTAAACAAGGATGCTCACATGTCATTATGACAACAACTATCACATGTCTTTTACAGAATAGTTAACATTGTATGAAAGTTTATCCCCATTTGTTCTTTAATGGCTACTTTAGTAACATTTGTCCAGTGCTTGTTTATTCTTGGTCATTTTTTATGCAAAAGTATTTGTTGCAATTTAAAACTTTAATTTATTGAATTGGGATTTATGAAGTAGCACAAGCCTGATTGTAAAGTGGAGGGGAACAGACATACACTGTAAAAAAGACTAATAAAATCTAGAAATTATTGTTTTCAGCTTTCTAGGTTCTACTGTTCTTTATAGACACAGATTTTGCTGCAATTAATGCAAAAGATGCACATTTGTTTCAGAAATGTCTCAACCAGCTTTACGTATCTAGAAACTGATGTTTTTTTCTATCCTTTACATTGTAAAGTTGTTCAGACTTAGTTAAATTGGATTAGGAGAGTGTATGAACAGCAACTTTTCAGATTCTGAATTGGATTAAATCTTAGACTTTGAACAATTTTATAACTTAAATATGTATTCTATTTACAATGCACTGGATTGCATTATCGGGCATCTCAGTAAAGGGGACACAATATAAAATGCTATTTTTGTTATGTGAAATTCATCAATTTAAAATATCCCTTCCTCTTTGCAATCATATGCTTCTTTGAGTTGGCCAGTCATATGAAATCCCAATACATTTTGTTGTAATTTGATAAAACTTTTTCTGTGTATCAGTTTGCACCTTAAACATTGTATTTTAATCCTATATTTCTCTTCCAACCCTTATATACTGATGTGCTGAAAAGAGCTAGACAGAAGTAAATGAAAAAGGGGATTTCTTCCCTTAAGGCAACCAGAGCTGCTAGTGGAGTCCTCATTAAGGAGATGAACTTGTGATGAGAGTGACGGAGAGATTAACCGTTCTCAGGCAGAGAATGTGAATGATTCTTGGAATAATATCAAACTATTCTGTTTGATTTTGAAATCATGCGTGATGCCTTTTGAAGCGCAGAGGAGTGTGATGTGGTGTAGTATTATTAATTGTGAGAATGATAACATGATTGAACGTGTGTGTGTTGCAGGGTGACAGAGTTGATGGGTTACACCCCTGAGGACCTGCTGGGTCGATCAGTCTATGAGTTCTACCACGCCCTTGACTCAGACAGCATCACCAAGAGCCACCATAACTGTAAGTCACAGATCTTCAAGCTAATTCTCATTCCATTAGAAAGTCTTTGTTTTTTCTCTTTTTTTTGGGACTAAAAATGTAAATTTTACGATCTTCAGAAATCTCTAAAAGTTGTGTTAAAAAGTCCCACAGCCAGACTGAGATTTCACCAGATCCATTTGAAAGCTGGAGATTCCTGGTTGTTCACACATCCTTAAACTGTCTTAAATTCCTTTAGAAGATTTAAGTTAACCTTAAATACATTAAATCTCAGGGCTTAAATTTTGTCGTGGGATGACTGTTTAATATTGGATATTCTGTGTGTGTTTTTTTTCTCATCTTTATTATGGTCTGTGACTTGAGGCAGTTGAAGCTAGCAGTAACTAGCTGCTAATATAGCTGTGGTAACTGGGTGTTATAACAGCCTAGTTACCACAGCTATTATACCCTAAGCAAGCTAGAGAATACTGGCTGGGATGACGTTATCACGTGGCGGTGTTTGCCACGTGATAACGTCGTCCCTTATTATCCATTAATAAGGGATAACATTTGTCATCCCTTATTAATAGATGTTTTCTAAAAACATCTATTACCGCATTTTTTCAAAGTTTTATCAGTTTGAGCAAACATATAATCACAGCCGCTTCGATCCAAAAATTTTATGATTTCTTTATCCAAAAACAATCAAGATTGAATCAGAAAAGCACCTGAGAGCATATTATTTCCCTTAAAAATGTCTCAAGGTTATAAAAAAACTATAAAGAGATATAAAAGCTCAGAGTTTCAAACTAAATTGTATCTATTATTATACTGTGAGTATATTTGTGATCAAATGAATCATTTTTAGAAAGTTTAAATGTCCCTTGTTATCTGCTAGTTGAGCAAATGACTGAGAGTTTGTTGTGAGAAGCTGGCAGGTTGTATACCTGCCAGCTAAAATGGGAGACGTGTAAAGAATCTTTACACATCTCCCATTTTACACTGATAATTCAGAAACATTACATTAATGCTAAAATTACATAAAGTACTGTATATGTTTGGATTACCTCTCTCTCTCTCTCTCTCTCTCTCTCTCTCTATAGCCGGTAAATAGATCAACTTCTGGTCATGTTTTATGGTTGAACTCACACAAAGTTTCTCTACAAGAACAAAATCTACCATCTGTTTTCTGATGAAGTTAAGGAACATTTTCATATGAAGCTCTAAATTTTATAACAAAGAAAGTTTTAACCAAAAGTGAGGGGAAATGTGTTTTGGATCTAATTATGAAAAATAAACTAATATTATGAGAAAAACCATATCAACTAAATGTTTCCTTTTACATCATGCCATTTTATTGTGGAAATTCTGTCCAAATTTAGTTTAAAAAAGCAATAAAACTAACCAGAACTGGTGGTGAGGTCCAATAGGTAATGGTTGGAGGCTTTTGGTACTTTCCTGAGAACAGACGTTCCTGCCAGGCATGTCCTCAATGGCTGGAAAAGACTGAAAGGAGGAGAGGAGAGGCTGTGAATGAAGTGAAGATCTGTTGTAGAACTGCAACTGTAGCAATGAAGTTTGATCTGGTTTGAATCTAAAATTTAAATAAATCAGACAAGCAGAAGCCTTGTCTGACTTGTGGGAAACATGGGAAAAATGAGGAGCACAGAATGTATGTAAAGACAAAAGTGGCATGTTTCAATTATTTTATAAGTACCAAAACTGATATTTATGCATGTGAAAATACATCTTTCTCAAACTGTGGTCCCCGGACCACTGGTGGTCTGCAAGGTACTGCATGTAAATGACTGTTTATTTGCTGTGACATGAGCTCAAATTGTGACATTACAGTTAGTTTACTGAGTGTCGATGTGTCATTCACTAGCGACTGGATTCCTTTGAATGGCTAGAGGTTGGAATCGCTCCAGTTAGTTAGAATTGTTCTTTGTTTTTCATGAATTTGCTTGGTAATGCTATGCTTTTGGATCAACAGCTATTGTTATTTTTGTTTAATTAAAATTATTACGTTAAATAAACACAATAAATGAATACAATTGATAGAAATGGGTAATTTTTTTATTTTTATATTTAATGGTGCAGAAAAGGATTTTTTGTCTGTGTTAAAGCAACTCAAGTCTATTTTTCTTTAATTGTGCTTCTAAGTCATAAATAGTCCTAAATGTTATTAATGCACATAACACTTGGTAGTAAAGAAATTCTTCTTTCTTTATTTCCATGTGTTTGACATCATTGGAAAGCTTAGACACTTTTAGAATATGTAAATAACTCAAAATGCCTAAGTAGACGTGTTCATGGCTTTGTTGGTGCCAGTCACATTTATCAAACAGCACCACTCTTCAAATTACGATGAACAAAGAAAACAACAATATGTGAGTTAAGAGACTAATATTTTCATTTCAAGTTGCATTATATATTCAGATGTGTTATCGCTGGGGCAATTTCAGGGTAGGTGGTCCGTGATTGTTTGTTAAATGGGTTAAGTGGTCCTTAGCCTGAAAAAGTTTGAGAAACACTGTTCTAGGAAGAAGAAGTTACAAAATCGACAAACAATATTTTTGCTGTTCTTCGTTTTATTTATTTATTTATTTATTTTATTTTTGCACTGAGTAGAAAACAGAAAAAGACAAGAAATTGTCTCACAGAAATGAATGAAAGAAATTAAAGAAATTAAAAAACTTCTCAAAAATAAATATTTGTCGAGCTGAACTCACTGGAAACCTCCAGTTTATATTTTTTTGTCAAATTTTCTCAAATAAATGTCTTTGATAATTATTTTTCTGCATCTTTTCTCATATCTTCTTTTAGTTTGTTTTTTTGTATGAAGTATCTTGTCAACATTATATTCCCAAATTATTCTCAAAATATTTGTTTTAAATACATTTGTTAGCAGTTTTTATGTCATTTTTATGCTATTAATATTAAAATAGCCAAGAATTTGTCACCTCATCGGAAACCTCTGATAAATCCTGCATGGATGGATTCTTAAATCCGGTCCAGAATGAGACCAGTTTTGTAGGAACCAAGCTGGCCCTTTAAATCCAGCTTTTCTCTGTCCTGTTGGAAACCAGAAACATTTACAAAACGTTAATATGAAAATGTGTAGAAAAATGCATGAATTCTCAGGGCAACCAACAGATTTATGCTTGAGTAATATCTAATCGGTGATTTTGGTGCTTATGATGTAGTTCAGCTCCAAGGGGTCTCCAAACATTAGCTGACTGGAAGCTAAGCAGATAAAAAGCGCTCTCTGTCAGCATGACTCTGCTCTCCCAGCCAACGTGAACAGCCTGTTGATCAGCACATAGAACAGTGTTCCCCGCTGTGCATGCAGCGCTGGCCTAAACGTCCTCAGGGAGTCACTCAGACACACACACCCACAGTGTCAGTGGCCTAATGTACGTGTTTTGACCAGTCATGCTCCTTTCCCACGCCAGCGCTGAACCCTGGACTGAAGCCAGCAGATCCCGTTCTCAGCTTAAAGTCAAACATCTAGCTTTGTCATGCTAACACACAGTTGATTGATCTGGGACTCTTTGTAACAGATGCTTGTGAGATGCTTTTGAATAAAGCAATTGGGCAAAGTCATGATTCTGAGTCAGTTAAAATTTTTGAAGTAGTTCCCTTAAACCCAGAAACATAAGTCCAGTTTTACCGAAGTAGAATGTGTCTGATTTTTTTTTTATCACAAAGAGCACAGCTAAGTCAATCTTTTAAAAATAGAAACCTCCAAGACATTGGTACCACAGTTAAAGCAGGAAAAATTAGCCTAAACCAGTGTCCCCCAGCCATGGTCCTGAAGGTGCCGCATGCTTGAGGTGTTTCCTTCAGGCCAGATGATTTCAGCTGATGGCTGATTAGCAGGCGTTTGCTGAAGTCAATAATCTGAATCAAAACGTTGTTCTGGTCAGAAAAAATCCAAATACAATCTGTGGTCAAAGTGACAGAAAACACTAAACGTCACCCTGAACAGACAATCCTCACCATGAAACATGTCCTGGGGACTTTTTTCAGCCAGAACAGAGAAGATGATTAGAGTTTACGAGAAGATAAATGGAGATAAATGCATCAAAATGATAGGAAAACCCCTTAGTCTTCTAAAATGTTGGCTCTAGGTCACAGTTTCATCTTCAGAGAAGGACCTGAAGAGCTACAAGAAACAGTTTAGATTGAAGCGTAGCCCAGTAACGGCCTGATCTAAATCCAATCGGAAATCTTTGACAAGACTTTTGAAAATGATTTTCTCAAACAATTTATATTTATTTTTATTTATTTATTTATATAAATAAATAAATATATATATATATATATATATATATATATATATATATATATGTCTCCACTTTTTACTTTTTCCTCTGCAGTGTGCAGCAAGGGTCAAGCAGTGAGCGGTCAGTACCGTATGCTGGCCAAGAATGGCGGCTACGTCTGGGTGGAGACTCAGGGAACCGTCATTTACAACAGTCGCAACTCTCAGCCTCAGTGCATCGTGTGCATCAACTACGTCCTGAGGTCGTGAAGACTTTCTGAGCAAAATGCCTGGAAGAGCTTGTTGTTCTAACTCCTGGAAGCTTACTGTTTGTTCTCACACGGTGCAGTGACGTGGAGGAGAAGTCGGTCATTTTCTCCTTGGAGCAGACAGAGGCGCTGTTCAAGCCGCCAAATATGAGCAGCTTCTTCACCACTGAAGGAGCCAGCAAGAACGCAGAATCAGGAGCTTCTCTCTACAAGAAGTTCAAGACAGAGCCAGAAGATTTGGCTCAGCTGGCTCCGACTCCTGGAGACACCATCATCTCCCTCGACTTTGGTCAGTTTGGACCTCTGACAATTTTCTGGAAAACTTTTGGGATGTTTTTGCTCTCTAAAAAGACACTTCAGTTGTTTTACTTTTGTTTTCTTTGCCTTAGGTTGCACTGAGTTTGAGGAGTCCCAGCAGCCAGCGCCTTTTACCCCAGTGTCTTCTTCACCCATGCCCCCTCCTTCATGTTGGACAATCGAGAGCCAAAAGCCGGCTCCTGTGGCAACAGCTCAGACCCCGGCTCCAGCTCTTGGTGACGCACCTAACAGAGCTGGGGCGTTCACTGTGCAGCAGAAAGCTCCACTGGGCAGCGCCACCCCGAGCCTCAGCAGCTGCTCCACGGTGAGGAGGAGGACGATTAGGAGGAAGGCTGAGAAGCCCCATTGTTTTGTTGAACGGCTTAATTAGGCTGAAACTGGTTGATTGAGTTTATATCCTGGATTATTCGGTCTGTGTTCAGCGAGGTCAATCAAAGCGGGCAAAGTGTGTGAGAATATCGGGGGTGGAAGTTTGGATGGATCAGACCATTAGCTTTCAATGGAGCCTTTTTTCGTGACAATTCTTCTGCTCCTTCTTTTCTCTCATGTCTTTTATCTCTTTGTCCGTTCTCCCAGCTTCTCCACTAGTCTCATTTTGCCGTTTTCCGTCTGCAGCCCAGCAGCCCAGGTGATTACTACAGCTCGGTGGAGAGTGACCTGAGGGTGGAGCTCACTGAGAAGCTGTTTGCTCTGGAGACTGAGGGAAATGACAGCACTGCACACACAGAGGTGCATCGCATCATATCCAGTGGGAATCAAACATCAACTTCAGGGTTTAACAACAAAAATAAAGGCAGAATTATTCCATTTCAGGGTCGTAATGCTAAAAAGTTTTTAAAATACTTTTTAGAACATTTTATAAATCTCTGTTAGTGTACAATTAACTAGTTGAGAATTTTAACTACCAATACTCTCATATAGCTTACAGTTAATAAAACGAAAAATAGCCGGTTAGCCTAGGTGCCAGGCTGCCGAGCAGATGCTAACTTTAGCATTATTAGCAGCTAACATTTAGCTTTTTCCTCTCCCATTGAGCATTTTCTTGTTAAAAATATAAAGAATTTATTTTTAAACGGTCCAAATGACTAAAATGGGAAACATTTGTTCTGAGTTGAGAATGTTTTAAGACGCTTTAAATGACAAAGTTTTAGACAGATTTTACAAAAGGTAAACATTGTAAAACATGAATACAGCGGAGCCCAGATATTCATGACAGTTTGGGACCACAGTCACCTGTGAAAAACTGAAATCCAAGAATACTTCATTACTGACATTTTTTAGCTATTCCTTATCTGCCCCACCAGTGCGTGTAAATATGTGACAACATTCACCACTTTTCTATTAATATTCACCACCCCACGCATTGATACTATTACTGCACTAGCAGATTCAGATACTGTTACTGCACTAGCAGTAATAGTATCAGTAAGATGACATTACTGTTAGGGTTTACCTTCTTTCTATTATATACTCAACATAAAGATGAGATCTAAATAAACCTGTGCTACACATAAATGTAACAGCAAAATTATTCTTAAGTTATTTCTCCTTTTTTGCTTAATGCGCATACAAATTCTGCCAGATGAGCAATTTAAAACTGGTAGAAGCTTCTATCAACTTATCTCATCTTTATTACTCAACTTTGTCTGATAAAGGAATTATCAGACAAACTTTGCCCTAGGAATTAGTTTGTTCAGCAACTATTTTCTGTTTTACTTCAAAATTAGAGTAGAATATTATGTCAGACACCAGACAAAGTCGTGCTGGCAGACTTTGACTAGAAATGCTGCAGAGATTTAATGTCAGTAAATGTTCTGACTCTATATCTTATAAAGTGAAGTTCTTAATCCGCTAATTGTTAGCAATCTCTACTAACTCAAACTCATGCAATTTGAAATAATACATTGCTACTTAATAAACACAATTTGCTCATTGTCAAATTGTTACAGGATTCCTTTAATTAAAATATCTTCTGTATCAGTTTGTATTTATATTAACGTGATTTTTTTTGCTATTGATGTTTTAGTTGAGCGTTACCTTTTACCCATTTTGTTTGTTTCTTCTTTTACAGGAGGACTTGAGTGACTTGGATTTGGAGACTCTGGCTCCTTACATCCCGATGGATGGAGAGGACTTCCAGCTCAATCCGATCATTCCGGAGTCAGAGCCCCTGGAAGCGGCTCAGGTGGGGTCCCTAGGGAGCCTGAGCAACCTCAGCATCCATCAGAGCTGCAACAATGTAGCCAGCCTCTTCCAGCCACTCACCGCCCCCCCTCAGCCTCAGAACCACTACCAGCCGCAACCGCAAGCATCCTGGGCCACGGGTGGGAGGAGAGGCCCCAACCCGGGCGCCATGGAAATGCGACAGAAGTTGTGCATGATGCCCCCGATACGGAACCCCCCTTTCCGAGGCCTGGCTGGCACGCCTCTGTCTTCCATACAGTGGCCTCCGGACCCAATAATAACCTACCAACAGCGGCAACGTTCACCGAAGACCTGTCTGATTGACGACATGTCGGGCGAAGAGCAGCTGTCCTGCCAGCAGAACACATCACACCTAGAGCACAAACAGAGGTGAGGTTGCGTCAGAGCACACTTTATTAAAGCTGCAGTGTTTAACTTTTATAAAAAATGTTTTTTTTACATATTTATCTTCATGTTGTGACAGTATGAGATGGATAATCTGTGAAAAAACTGAGCTTCTCTCTGTGCTAACTGCAGTCAGAAACAGCCAATCAGAGCCAGGAGGCGGGTCTTAGCACTGCCAATTAGTCTTGTGCTCAGAACCCTGCCTTTTCAGCTGGTTTCCCACTACATAGCCTGCCACAAATACTAAGGCTAGTTAGCATAGCAACTCATGTTTTCCTGGAACAGTGAGTTATTTCTCCACCGAGAGCAGCATACATGAGGATGATTGACAAGATTAAGGCCCTCCTCCTGGCTCTGATTGGTTGTTTTTGATGACAGTAAGAGGAGGAAGAGATTTATGTTTTCACAAATTACTTGTCTCATATCAAACTGTCGCAACAAGGTGACAGTTTTAGCAAATATGGTGAAATCATATTTTTGTAAAAGTTACTTACTGCAGCTTTAAGGGTTTTACACCGTGTTCCAAAATATTATGAAAATTGGATTTAAGTGTCATAAAGATTTAATTTTTGTTGTTCCATTAAATTTGGAGATGGTATTGTGTCTCAGGGCTCTTTGAGTCACTATAATTAATTTCAGAGACCTATGCTTATTAGCTTGCCAGGTGACCTCAATTAAAGGAAATCTACTGAAGATGTTCCACATTATTAAGCAGTCTTCAGGTTTCAAGCAGTATGGGAAAGAAAAAGGATCTCTGCTGCCAAAAAGCATCATATAGTGCAGTGTCTTCATCAAATTAAGAGAGCAGCTGTTAAAATGCCTTTACAAAGCAGCAAACAGTTATTTGAAGCTGCTGGTGCCTCTGGAGTTCCATGAAAATAATGATGTAAGATCCTGCAAAGGATCAAACCCTGTTATGCACAAACCTACTGTTAGCAGGGGCGGATCTACTGGGGTGGCATGGGGTGGCAAACGAGAGCCTTGCCACCCCTGTTGCCACCCCAACTAGCGACAATGAATTCAATAAATAGTTATGGCAAATCGGACATTAAGCGCATGAATCTCTTTTTTCCGACAACATTGAATGCAACACAATGTAACCTGACACCCACTACTAAGTAGCGGGAATTGCGAGAGAAGGACAGAGTGCCAGGCAGCAGCATTGATGGATCAATATTACTGGACTGGACATTACGTGATTTCTTGTAAGTCACACATGCGCCATTGGTGTCCATTGAGTCAGGAATATCGATGGTCAGGAAACTACTACAATCACGCAAAGAATCAGAACAACCATGCAATGTTTAGCAGTTAATTAAACCATAGATAATGGTAATAAGGGCTTCAGATTTCACAGGTGAGGAAAAAGTTTTACTTTAAAGAAAAGATTGAACAAGTGAGCAGTGGGTCAGTTATACTAGCCTAACTGTTGCTGGCCTGGTATTGACTTTGATAACATTAACAGGTGCTGTGCAGTTCGGTGTGTTTTGGTTCTGTTAGCACTAAAACTGGTCAACCCCCACACCAAGTCATCAGTAGAACAGGTGTTTAAATCAGCTAATCAACCACCGCGGTGATCAGGTGAAAACTTATTAATAATCACAATATGTGATTATGACAACATAATGTTGTCATCAAGCCTGACAACATAATGTAACAGACAGGATGTTCTGTTTTAGTGTTTTTGTTACTTTTTTGTCTGGGAAATGTTTGTTTTTGGTGTTGATTCCCCTGATCGGTAATCTCTCCGCTATCTGCTCTTTGACCTGTTGTTTGTCGGTTGCCATGGCAACGGGTCCGTGTGTAATGCCGGCATACAGAGCGAGAAAAGGCGGAATAGAAGTTGTTGGGGCTATTTTTTCTTTATTTCTTTATCCATTTGAAGTTTGTTACTTTATTCTTAAATTTCTATTTTTTGTATTATTTACAGAGTTTATTTGTAGGTTGATAATTGTTGATTTTATTTATTCCTGTTTTATTATTTTTCTTATTTATTTTCTAAATTTAGACAGGCCCTTTCTTGTATCTTGACAGAACTAACAGAAACTAAACTGTTTATAGATTTGTATCATGCTGAATTTATCAAACATCAGTTTTCTAATCTTTATTTTAAGTCGTATTTAATAGATATATCCAATAACAAACGATGGTGCTACTAATATTTTCGTGACAGATTTCTCCTTGTCCTATATTGGGATAAAATGGTTTTCTGGACACAATGAATCACATAGTGACCAATACGCTCTGTCCAGTCCAGTAATGCATATCAATTAGCAGGAGTATGAAAAACGTAAAAATAATTAACTATACTACATTAAGAAATTGTATTCAAGCCTCGGGGCTACATGAAGCTCATTTTGAAACAATGCAAGTTAAAAACAATACTTTGTGTGTGTGTGTGTGTGTATATATATATATATATATATATATATATATATATACTGCCACCCCTAAAAAATCCCTGCCCCCCTCTTGCCACCCCATAAATATTTTTCTAGATCCGCCCCTGACTATTAGGGCACCACGAACCAATGCTCACAAGCAGAAATGGTTGCAGTGGGCCCAGACATGCATGGAGACTAATTTTAAAACAGTTTTGTTCACTGATGAATGCTGTGCAACCCTGGATGGTCCAGATGGATGGAGTAATGGATAGGTGGTGAATGGCCACAACGTCCCAACAAAGTTGCCACTGCGAGGTGGTGGAGTCATGTTTTGAGCGGGAATCATGGGCAGAGAGCTGGTTGCCCCCTTTAGTATCCCTGAAGGATCACTTTCTTCCATGGCACACAAAGAAGAACTGTTCTTTATGTAGCAAAATCATCTTCATGCATGACAATGCACCATCTCATGCTGCAAGGAATACCTCTGTGTCATTGACTGCTATGGGCATAAAAGAGGAGAAACTCATAGTGGCTCGAGCAGAAACTATCCACAAACTCACAAGTTCAATGCATGCAAGAAGGTGATATCAAATATGGAGTCTTTGATATCACATGTACATGTTAACATGTAACATGCTGATACATGTTAACGCTGATAACATGTTAACATGTACATGTTAACATGTAACTAGGTCTGTTAAGATGTTTTTGATTGAAATGGCTTTTAATTTCAGTAAATGTGATCACTGCACATTCAAATAATGACCATTTGCAGTTCCTTATAACTCAGAATGTGTTCATGAATATTTGTATTTATTGGTTTGTAAAGGTCCATTGATAATTTTGTGCAAGCCTACAAAGATCTGGATCCAGCAAGAGTGGCCATGAATAACAGCATCAAGCGTTCCTTCAACCAGATGGCACTGGTGAGTTTTCCCTATAAAGTGTTGCTCCCATCAGTTTTGTGGCCAATTTTTGATTTTATTTGATCCAATCATTTTTTCTTTAACAACTATAACTGGCAGCTTTTGCAGTCTTTTTTAGTGGTCATTATTCAGGGTCCTACATACTCAGGTGTACTGCGCTCCAGTTAGAGTAAAGGTCCATTTTTACCACCGCATACACGGATCCAGTGTGTAGATTAAACTGTATGGCGGGAAACAAGGCAAGGCAAGGCAACTGCCACCCCCTGTAACCGCAGTAGATCAGCTCCTGACCTATATCTGGCCAATTTAAGTACAGACAAGTGGGAAATTATTATTATTATTATTTTTTGCATTTAATTAAAAACCCTTGAAGTACAAATTACCATATTTTACTATTGCTCCTTTTACAAAAACATAACATCCTGGTTTTGAAAGCTAAAACTAGGATATCGACTACAAACTTTTACTGCTTTGCTCCAGGTCTGTGCATGTCATTAAGAGCTGAAAAGATTAGAGCAGTTTGTACATTTAAAATTATTATTTGATTGTTAGAAGGATGGATGGCCTTACTGCACTTTTCGCTTTTTAGGGTGAAAGAAAGCTGACGGATGCCATATGGAAGAAGATGAGGGGCGATGGCTACATGGACCGCTCCCTCAGTGCGGGGTCACTCACAGGTATCTTTCTGTGTTTGTTTTTTCACTCACCTGGTTGTTCCAAACATTTGTGAGTCTTCATGTTAACTTGTGTCTCTTCTCAGAGTCAGCGACGATGGGCCGGATGATTCCAGGTATCAGGCCCCCGTTCCCCGCCTCGCTGCAACAACACAGGACGTCACGGTATCGAGGGGATGGAATTAGTGGACCAAATGGAAAACCCTTTTCCAGAAAGAGTTGCAGCTACACGGAGTATAACCTGATGTCTTCAGGTACAAATGTACTATGCTACATGAACTCTGTAGTACTGCTCTATCAAATAAGCAGTTTTCTTTTATACATTTCACAATACAGGTCATTCATACTGACCTCAAAAAGTAGGTGAAGAAGGTGAAACCTGCAGAGACCCCTGTTTTTATTAACAGTTGATTATGCATGTCCACATGAGACTGTGTTTATCCTGACTTAAACCTCAGAATCATCAGTTGATGGCACATTCTTGCTGCGTTTGAAGCAATTCTTGCTAATGTTTCCATCTGAAACATTAGCAAAGTGACCAAAAGCATCGGCAAGACGTTCAAACTTCCCCTGCCAACATTTTTGTTTATGTCCTCTTCCAGGCATAGCAAGTTGTTTGCTGGGCCCTTCGTTTGAGCCCTCCTGCTTGCCGCAGCTGACCCGCTATGACTGTGAGGTCAACGTCCCACTGCAGGGCAACCTCCACCTCCTCCAGGGCTGTGACCTGCTGCGAGCCCTGGACCAGAGCACCTAAAGCCCGCTCCCTTTCACTGACTCAAACCCACCATAAAGCCTGGATATCACCCCTGAGCCTCAGCCTGCAGTCTGGTGACTTCTGCCTGTTCTCTGCCTCTGAACCTCTTGGGGCCGACTTCAGAGCCCTGAGACGAAGCTACTTGTAGAGCACGGTATCCATGACCACATCCTGCCTTACTCAGCCCCACACTCTTCTTCCTGCCCTGCCTCTAGTTCTCAGTATAAACTAAAACATGCAGTATAATACCAGGCTCAAGCTACATTCATGTTTTTTTTCACCCTAAAATACTGCGGCATAAACCGGACGCAGGCTGAGTGGAAGAGTAACCAACCAACACCAAACGGGTCCGCATGGGGAGGAGAAAAAGGTCAATGCTGGTATTTAACAGATTATATCATGTTACTCTCACTTGTGTTATGTATTAAAGTTTTGTCAGGATGTCTGGAGCTGCAGCTGTAGTCCCAGGCTGTGTAGCTTTGAGGAGAACATATTCTACCTACACATCAGCACACACATTGTGCTCTTTTGTTGTTTTTGTTGACTGACTTTAGCCTTTCTCACCAGCTCGCATCGTCTTCGAGCTGAGGCACCGTAACACAAACTGGTCACAGCACTAGACCTTTATTAAATCTACTTTATATTTTTTACTTTAGCCTTCATCGGTCTGTACTGACGTGATTCCTTCTACTTTTATTAACCAAACTGAATATCTTAAATGAATTGATGCAACACTGCTGTATTGAGACTAGCCTTCTCGTGTATTTTGGGTCCTTACTCAGTCAGCTAGTAGATTCTTCTGTTTGTTTCTCATAGTGGTATAACGTACTCCTGTGTAAGTTAAATATTAGACATTTCTGTCTTAATTCAGAATTTTGAATGTGTCTGTGTTAATCTATAATAACATCCTATATGACAACAACAGGGTATTTTTTTCTTATTGTGCCGATTTCATTCACCAAACTTTCAGCTTGCACATAATAATTGGATTTATACACATTTTTATATGAGATAAAAAAGCAGCAGTGTTGTGCACAGATGACTGGGGAGGGCGGAGAAATACAGATCTGTTATTATATTTCATGGTTCTAGAGCAGTGGTTCTTAACCTTTTTTGAAGTACCGAACCCACCAGTTTCATATGTGCATTCACTGAACCCTTCTGTAGCGATAAATAAAATATGAATTTTTTTCCCCCAAATTCAAGACATAGGGGTGACCCAACTAGAGTCTAGTGGGGTCACCCCGAGATCACTAAGTCTTCTTAAAAGGTAGAGTCTCTGAGAACAGTTCTTCAAAATACACTCCTGATCAAAATCTTAAGACCAGTGAAAAAATTGCAAGAATTTGCATTTTGCACTATTGGATCTTAAGAAGGTTCTAAGTCACATGTGTCAAACTCACGGCCCGCGGGCCACATCCAGCCCGCCGTGTAATCATATCCGGCCCGCAAGACCATTTTACATTATTGTTATTAATGGCCCGTCGATATGAACAATGCCGTCTCATCCCTATACGTCATATTCTGACGTTTTAGTCACTGCCGCGCTGATAACACAATACTGCACAGAACTACACATCCCACAATGCGGGAGGTGCGCAGCAAGGCAGCTTCGGCTGCCTTGCTGCGCACCTCCCGCGTCCATTCAGTCTTGCTATTACAAGATATTGCGCAGATAGCCGGTAGCCGAAGATACCCCTCATAATGGCAAAGAGAAAAGTTGATTCTGAGAACAGAGCCTTTAATAACTGATGGGAGGCTGAGTATATGTTTACTGACATTGCCGGTAAACCCGTGTGTCTCATTTGTGGCGCTTATGTGGCTGTAATTGAAGAATTCAATCTAAGACGGCACTTCGAGACAAAACATAAGGATAACCTGAAAGACCTGGTTGCAGAACAGAAGAAACAGAAAGCAGAAGAGTTAAAGAAGAATCTGACACTCCAGCAGACGTTTTTTACCCATGCAAAATCTCAAAGTGAAGCTGCTGTGAAAGCAAGTTTTATCGTGGCAGAGGAGACCGCCAAATCAGCCCGGCCATTTACGGAGGGAGAATTTCTGAAGAGCTGCATGATCAAGGTGTTCGACGTCTTATGTCCAGACAAAAAGCAGATGCTGGCAAATATAAGATTGAGTAGAAATACGGTTACTGATCGAATTTGTGAGATGGCCACTGATTTAAGAGCACAGTTGAGTGAAAGAAGCAAAGACTTCATTGCCTACTCTCTTGCTGTGGATGAAAGTACTGACATGACTGATACTGCACAACAGGCTATCTTCATCCGAGGAGTGGACTCCAATTTGTGCGTAACAGAGGAAGCAATGGACATTAAATTGATGCACGGGACAAGGACTGGAAAAGACATTTTTGAAAACGTATGCCAAAGTGTAACCGACATGAAACGGCAATGGGACAAACTTGTTGGACTTACAACTGATGGAACACCGGCTATGTGCAGTGAAAAATGTGGACTAGTGGGAAGGATGTGAGTGAAGATGCAGGAGGAGAACTGTACTGGTGAGTTAACAGCATATCACTGCATCGTACACCAGGAAGCAGTATGTGGCAAAGTCCTGAAAATGAACCATGTAATGAGAACTATAACGCAAACCGTAAACTTTATCCGTGCTAAAGGGTTAAATCATCGGCAGTTTCGGTCCTTTATGCAGGAAATAGATTCAGAATTTGCCGACATTCCTTATCATACAGAGGTGCGTTGGGTAAGTCAGGGAAAAGTTCTCAACAGAGTTTTGGAGCTCAGCAACGAAATCTGTAAGTTCATGGACAGTAAAGGAAAAGACTCCACCGTTTTGAGAGATGAAAAATGGAAGTACGAGTTGGTGTTCCTGGCTGACGTAACAGCTCATCTTAACGCCTTAAATCTGCAGCTCCAGGGACGTGACCGCATGATCACTGACATGTATGACGCGGTGAAGGCGTTTCAAGTGAAGCTGCTTTTATGGGAGACACAAATGCAACAATGCAACTTGCCTCACTTTCCCTGTTGCCAAGTAATGTTGAGCCAAGTCAGCACAAATGTGTTCCCCAAAACGCACTTTGCTGACAAACTGAGCACACTACGCGCTGAGTTCGCACGGCGGTTTAGTGACTTTGAAGCACGATGAAAAAGTTTTGAGTTGCTGCGCAACTCATTTGCTGTTGATGTTGAAACTGCACCTGTGCAGATTCAGATGGAACTGATTGAGCTGCAGTGTAATGGGACACTGAAGGCAAAGTATGACACTGCAGGGCCCGCACAGTTCATTCACTCTATCCCTGCAGCAATGCCCCAGCTCCGTCTTCATGCGGCTCGAACCTTGTGCATGTTTGGGAGCACATATCTGTGTGAAAAGCTCTTCTCAGTGATGAAGATTAACAAAACAGCACACAGAAGTCGTCTCACTCATGACCATCCATCCTGCGAATCTCCATAACACAGGACTTCACACCAAACATAAACCAACTTGTTGCCAAAAAAAGATGCCAGGTGTCTGGCTGCGATCAGAGCAAATGATCAAATCAGAGTCATAAGAGCAAAGAAAACGGAATGATTAGAATTGTTATTTCTGGAAAGTACATGTTTTATGTATATATCCAAGTTTTGTAGCATGTTCATATTTCTACTTGAGATATTTTTAAGGAGAGCAAAATCTTTTGGGATATTTAAGTTTATTTTTTTAATACATACATTGACATAGGAGCAAAGGAATTTGAATGTTATTTTAATGTTAAGTTGTTTAAGTTAAGTTCTAAGTTGTATAATTTAACAAGATATTTTTTATTTAGAGCAAAATAATAAATACTGTATAAATGATTTAAGGTTTAAATTTAATATTCCTGTCTGTTTTTATTCATATTTATATTCCAAAAACATTAAGTTTAAGTGTGTTAAATAAATGTTTATCCTGGTTGGCCCGTGACCTTAAGTGTGTTTTGAATTTTGGCACCTTGTGCAATTGAGTTTGACATCCCTGATTTAAAGTCAATATTAAACGGAAAGAAAAAATACTTTCCATAATAAATCTTTTAGGGAATGAATTGAAATCTACAGAGCATAATGAAAAGTATTAGATTACCAGTGTTGGTGTAGCATGATAAAAATACAATGTTAATTAAAGCCGCAGGCGGCATTGGAGGCCCTCGCAGTGAAGTGCGCCGAAGGCCTATTGGCAACCGCGGGGGTTCCAGCACCGCCATGCTCTCACCACCGCCAACGCTCTCCCACAGTTCCCACAGCTCTCCGCCAGGCGACACACACCTACATCTTCCGCAGCCCTCCCTGACACAAGCGGAGTCGATCTGAATTGCAATTTCAAGCTACTGGGCTCTTTAGAGGCTAACAAAGGTCAAGCCCAACAAGTTTACTGTTAATAATATGAGGCATGTATGATTTAGAGCAGTCCTTCTTCTAACACAAAGAAAGACTGCTCTAACTGCAGTAATACTTCCTTCCAACAGGTGACTTCCTGTTGGAAGGGGGCGTGGCTAAAGAGATGTTACCAATTGACCAACTGAATGTGATGAGCTCTGCTTTGTGATGATACCAATGAAGTTTGATGCAACTGGGAGCTTTTATGGGGAAGTTATTCCATCTTGATGTTTCATGGCGAATGGCCAGATTTGAGGATTGGCCACGCCCACATGTTCTAACATAGGAATATTCTTTTGATAACTTTTGACCCTCAGTGCCTCAAGATTCTGCTATCTAAGTTTGAAGCCTGGATCTCAAAAGCTGTAGGAGGACTTCCAGGTGAGCAAGCAAGATGGCGACAGCTTAACCAGGTGGCTCCCCGACAAATTTTAAAAAGCAGAAGTTATTTAATGTAAGATATAAAACAAACTTAAAAGTGAGCCGGAATGCCCAAATCCAAATCAAGGAGCACTCTGTTGTCCCGAAAACCAATGTTAAGAGAAGAAGAAACGAACGAAGAAGGTATGGCTAGCCTCTCGGACTCGGAAGCATCATTAGCGGCTAACGACTCAGCTAACGAGACAGCTAATCTACAAGCTATTCTCCAAGAGCTAAGAGAATCACGTCGAGAAAATGGTGAAGGCTTCCGAGAGGTTAAAGAGGAGATAAAGAATGTAAACAGAAGACTGGACGAGGCGGAGACACGCATCTTGGAAGCGGAGAACAGAATTCAGCAGCTTGAAGAGGTGGCTACGAAGCTAAGTAAAGTGCATTACGAGTTCGAGGCCAAGCTGGTGGAGCTCGAGGGGAGATTGAGAAGGGACAACTTGAGGCTCCATGGCATTGCGGAGGGCTCTGAGGATGTCTCATCGTCTATCTCAGCCTTCATAGACAATCTACTCCGAGACAAACTGGACATTCTGACATCGCCCGACCTGAACATTGAAAGAGCTCACCGCTCTCTGGGACCCAGAGCTCCGCCTGAAGCCCCGCCGCGTTCCATAATAGTCAAGTTCGGCACATCTAAGGTAAAAGATGAAATACTAAAACGAGCCTGGCAAAAGAAAGGCTTCATGGTGGCGGGGAGAAAAGTCATAGTGGACCACGATTATGCTCCAGACGTGTTAAAACGGCGACGTGAATACATTGAAGTGAAGCGGGTCCTCAAGGAAAAAAAGATCAAATTCCAAAAAACCGTTCTGGGCCAAGTTGAGAGTATTCTACGAGAACAATACGCGTGTCTACAACTCTGCAGCTGAAGCAACTAAAGACATGGCGAATCAAAGCTTCCAGATCACCGTTATCCAGCCATCGACGACGTTGGTAGACAAGATCAAGAGTACGATGTGGACCAAGTCGGGAAAGAATGACAAAGACCAACGACAAAACGGAACTCGGGAGGGATACAAGAAGAAACTGGACGAGTTTAGAAGAGAATAAGCACAACCACAGAAGCGGACGGATCAAACATATCAAGGGATTATTATTATTTTTATTACTTACCTTTTGATGTTATTTGAAGTCGGGGATCGCGCTTCCTAGAAAATGGAACGCTACAACCAGGTAACGTCACTACCAGAGGGCCCCTCGCAGCCACGCGCTGGCTTTTCCTCAAAATCGCTCACAAACTATAACACCGCGTTAATAAGACCAAAGGAAAGGGAGTCTTTAAATGGACGTGTGTTAGCTTGTTTTACAAAGCTAAGATGTTTGGATTGTTCACAGTTGTTCTTTGTTTGGGTAGCTTAGGGTTGTCATTTATTTTACTCGTTCTGAATATCCAGCAATATGCAAACCATGCCTTCATTATCACCTCTTAGAATCATAACTTATAATGTAAAAGGAGTTCATAATCCAATAAAAAGGGTGAAAATATTAGGAAAAATGAAAAAAGAAAAAGCAGAAGTAGTATTCCTCCAAGAAACTCACCTCTCTGAGAAAGAGCATCGTAAACTCAAAAGAATGGTCTTTAATCAGGTATTTAGTGCATCACATAAATCAGGTCGTAGAAGGGGGGTGGCAAGCTTAATATCCCAAAGGGTCACATTTGAGATGAGCCGTGAATATAAAGACAAAGATGGTAGATACAATATTGTAGTGGGCAGGCTAGAGGGACAAAAGATTACCTTTATCAACGTGTATGCCCCGCCAGGTTCAGAGTGGACATTTTATAAACATATCTTTGATATGATGATAACTAAATCACAAGGCATAGTAATCTGTGGGGGAGACTTTAATGTAAGACTAAATCCTTCAGAAGATACCTCTAAACAACCCAGAGTTAATTGCAGCACAGGTAAGAAGATCAGAAAGATGATCAAAGAACTAGGGATAAGTGAAGTTTGGCGCAAATTTAACATCAGAAAAAGGGACTATACATTCTACTCTACAGCTCATCATTCATATTCAAGAATTGATTATATTTTTATGTACAACAAGGACCTAGACCGAGTAGAAAAATGTCATATTGGGCTGATGGACCTCTCGGATCATTGCCCACTTCACATAGAAGTAAATGTTAACAAAACAAAAAACCCGTTTCTATGGAGACTTAACTCTAGTATACTCAAGGGCAAAATTAAAGAAGAGTTAAGGCAAGAAATTCAAACATATATGCAGGACAATGACAATGGAGAAGTCTCCCCTGCAATACTATGGGACGCCTGTAAAGCTGTCTTGAGAGGAAAAATAATTGCAAAATCATCTTTTTTAATAAAAAAACTAAGCAAGAGAATTAAACAATTTGGAACAAGAGTTGGCCGAACTAGAAAAAATAAATAAAAACAAAGTAGACCTTAAAACTCTAGGGAAAATAAAACAAATCAGAGATTAAATTAATAAAGAACTACAGTCCAATATACAGAAGAAACTCTTATTCCTAAAACAGAGTTACTATGAAACAAGCCCAAAATCATCAAAATTTCTAGCATACAGACTTAAAAAACAACAGGAGGAAAGAACTATATACAAAATTAAAGAACCAACAACTAATAAAGTTACCTATAAAAATATAGAAATAAGAAAAAGCTTTGAAAAATACTACCAAAAACTGTATGCTCTAAAAGAACAAGAAGGAATGGAGGAAACCAATGCACTACTGAATGGGTTGCTGCTGCCTACTGTATCGAATGAACAAAATGAAATTCTGACCAAAAACATAATAATTCAAGAAATTGAAAAAGCAATAAATAAATTGAAACCTAACAAATCACCAGGACCAGATGGATTTAATGCTGATTGGTATAAAATCTATTTAAAAGATCTGTCTCCCGTCCTTCAGAGAACATTCAACTGGGTTCTAAATAGGGGACAAATTCCCCCTTCCTGGAAGGAAACAATGATAACAGTTATTCCAAAAGAAGGTAAAGACAAACTAAACTGTTCAAATTACCGCCCAATCAGTCTACTTAATCAAGACTATAAAATCTTTACCTCCATATTAGCCAAAAGATTGGAGCTTATCCTCCCAGATATAATAAATTTAGACCAGACAGGGTTCATAAAGAACAGACGAACAAGAGACGATATTAGAAGAACCCTAAACGTGATCAACCACATTAAGAAGCCAGACAAACAAGCAATTATACTGGGTTTAGACGCACAAAAAGCATTCGATACTGTGAACTGGTCATTCTTATTCAGAGTCTTGTCAAAATTCAACTTCTCCAGCAAATTTATAAAGATAATTCAGGAACTGTACAATAAGCCTATAGGTAAGATTCGGATCAATGGGGGGCTATCGGAAGAAATAAAAATTGAACAAGGGTGCAGACAAGGATGTTCCATATCCCCATTATTATTCGCCATATTTATTGAACCTTTAGCACAATGGATTAGGCAAAACACCAAAATGCACGGCATAATGATAAACCATAATGAACAAAAATTAGCACTATTTGCGGATCATATATTAATCTATCTGGCGAGACCTCGGGAATCCCTCCCAGAATTACACAAAATCCTGTTGAAGTACGGGAAATTTTCAGGTTACAAACTCAACTCCCACAAATCTCAGGTCTTGACATTCAAATACTCACCAGACAATATTGACAAAGAAAACTTCAAAATAAATTGGGACATGGATTGAAGTATATACCAGGGAGTGACCATTCCCAAAGACTTAAGGAATATTACCTCAGAAAACTATAACCCTTTAATGACTAAAATAAAAATGACGTACCCAGATGGAACCTGATACCTTATTTGGGTCTTATGCAAAGAGTAGAAGCTATCAAAATGATGATGTTCCCAAAACTGCTATACTTTTTTCAGACCCTACCAACAGAACCACCCAAATATATGTTCCAAGAAATTGACAAGCTGATTTCGAGATTTATTTGGCAAGGGAAACAACCCAGGAATAGATTTAAAACTTTACAACTGAGTAAAAGTAAAGGAGGCCTTTCACTCCCAAACATGAGTG